GCTACGAGTGCGCCAACTTTGGGAATCAGGGCATCACTGTGGGCTGCTGGGATTTGTACCGTCACGACATCGACTGCCAGTGGATCGACATCACAGACGTCAAACCTGGAAACTACATCCTGCAGGTGATCATGTTCACAAAGCAAATACCACAATAATGTTTGTGTGTCATGCACTGTTGTGTTTTAATCTCTGTGATTGTCTACCCTGTTACAAAAATGTTTTTTTATTTTACTACACAGATTGGATTAACCCAAATTACGAAGTGGCTTGAGAGCGACTTCACCAACAACTGCATGAAATGTACATCTGCAAATATGACGGACATCGAATCTGGCCTTCATAACTGCCACATTGGTAAGCAGTAAAAAAAACACCAAATTAGTAAATGTTGTTAAGTGGTGCTCGATTTCGGATTATTGTTTGTTATTTTATCAATATTTTCTATCGTTTATACAAACTTTAATGGGCCCAGATACCTTGTTATGTTCGTCTATGTATACTAATTAGTATTCAAGTAAATACATATTATTGTTGCTTTTCTTCATCCTACAGGTGATGCGTTCAGCGAGGAGGGCAGAGAGGAGGTTTGAGAAATACCCCGGGCAGCTCAATAACCAGATTCCTTCAATAAATCAACAATAACTTCCCGACATATGCGCCCCAGAGTCGGGGAATAAAACACACTTTACAGGTTTTAAAAAACAAAAGACAAACATTTGTATTTTCAGGTTGAAAAAACTGGATTTCCTCACATATAATTTGGAGTTATGGAAGAAGCCAACAGTATTTTCCTGCGCTGAATGTCTTTTTATATTATACTTGAATATTCAAGTTTTTTTTTTTTTTTTTCTCAGTCTAATGTGAGCTAATGCTATATTTTTTATTACAAACAATTAAGAATGTTATGAATGTTCAGAGTTACAGTATGGGTGAAGCATCTTTATAAAGATATATTTGACTAAATATTATACAAGTTAGCAGATCAACAAATAGATAAAGTACTATTTAAACAATTTTGCAAGTATAATACCAGTAATCTTGTCCACAGAACAAACCGTAACACACCCTGCCTCCACACTATTTATTGCTTAAATCGGTGCTCAGGAACACTTAGCATTGTTGTCAGTTTTCCATCTGCTTTAGTCTTGATGTATTGTATTATTATTAAGTAATCTAGGGTCTGAATGTAGATGTTATCGGGGCCAAAAAGAAAAAAACTACACTTACCCTCAACAATGTCTGAATGTAAGTTGATGTATCACAACTGCTGCACCGAATAAAGAGGAGAGGAATACACATTGTGCTGCACACCCTTTTTTTTTTCAATTTATTTAAAAAATAAATTGTTGGTGGGGTTCCTGGAGGTTTAGGGTTTCCGTTTTCAACACTTTGGCCCATGTTTTCTACTTTGGTTGCATATGTCCACCACTCATGACAGTTCAAACCCCAGATTATAATCAGGTTTCTCGATAAATAGGTTTTTCACAGAGGAAATTGGTTTAGTTAATAAAAACATCATAAGAAAAAATGAAAGAAATATGTTATTGAAGTGTTTTCAGAAAACTGTCTTTTAAACACAAAATATATAAAATAAGATTCTGTACATGCATTTCCTCACAAGAAGTACAACACCGAGAGGAAAGTATTCCATGTTTGTAAAACAATCTCCCTAGCTGAAGTTTTTTTAATTGACTTCCTTTTTAAATAAGTCTGTAAGTGGAACTATAAGGATAGATTATTTAATTTGATTGTGAACTCAATGGCCACTTTGACACCTGTGTAGAAGTGTTCAATTGTACTTACACAGGAATAGATGTAACAGCTTTAAAAGCTGGAAAAACAAAGGTAAATAGCCTACAGGACTCTTATCATATAACATAATACAAAAATAACAATACAAGTCATTTATTTCATAATTATTATTATTAGAATAACAAAGACATCAAAACTGAGCAAATAAAGGTTAATACAGGACTGTTAAAGGTGGGGTAGGTAATTTTGGAGAAAACCAGCTCGAGTGTGCTAGAATTTGAAAATACACAGCCGGAAAAAATCTGCCCCAAATTCTTGATTCGGTAATGGTAATGTATTTTTTTTTTCATACACCAGTTTTTTCAACTACTGTCACTGCCAACCAGTGTTGTCAAGTAACGAATTACATTTACTCAAGTGCTTGTACTTAAAGGTGGGGTAGGTCATTTTGGAGAAACCAGCTCGAGATCGCTGGAATTTGGAAATACACAGCCGGAACAAATCTGCCACTTCCTTACAGAGCCCCTCCTCCAACACACACGAACGCGCACATGACCAACGAGGGCACGAGATAAGTTTGTGCACAAGATGGAAGGCTGACAGGCAGGTAGGCCATCCAGTTATTTTAGCCGGGTCGGATATATCCAGTCTCTGATTCATCTTCTACTTAGTAATATATATCTACTATCTAATATATATATCATTCCAATACTTGTATATTAAACCTCGTACTGCACTATTCCACATACTCACTTTATTTTAGAACTATTTTTCTTTTTGTATTATTACTTTTACTATCTGTATTATTATGTTGCATTGTTGGAGAAGCCTGTGACATAAGATTTTCAACGACATAATTACTCTGTAGCTATGTTAGTTTGACAATAAAGAACCTTGAACCTTGAACCTTGATAGTGTTACGTTATTATGAGAGTGCTCTCATACTTGTTTGATTCTGAAATTGTATAAATATAAATATATACATATATGTGTGTGTGTGTGTGTGTGTCGGACTGGGACTAAAAATCAAGCCCGGGAAACTCGACCGGGCCGACCGGCCCAACTCGGTACCGCTAGTCAATTGTCAACGGGGGGGTGCTAGTGAATTGTCCGACCGGCCCACTTCGGTACCCCCTCTCTGGTCGCTACAATGAGGAAAATAAATTACGGGCCAAAAGTTTTATTTACAAGTATTAAAAGTAAGCAGAGGACACCAAACCAACTGAAGACCTGTCTGTCCGCTGCATCTACGCACACACTGTACCACACACACCTACACCACAGAAAAATATCGACTCTTTGTTTGTAGCCTAGATATCTATTAAACTAAAGCAAATATAGACAGTAGGCCTGTTATACTGAGTGATATATATTATACACACTGCTCTGCTTTCTGCACGGACCTCACAGCTGTTCTCTCTGTAAACATCGCGTCGATGAAAGCAGTTAATAACATAATATCCAGGGGATGCATGCAGAGCTGTCATTGGCTGAGATCAGTCCGGCCGTGCGTCACGACTCTTTGACTGCGAGAGACGGCTGAGTTGACCGCAGTCAGCTCTGCGTCACGCGGCAGGTGCCTCTTTCTTCTCTGCAGGATAAACGGTCATGGCTTCGGGTTTCTGTGAGGATTGCTCCAGACTTCTGGAAGAATTCAACTTCCATCTGAGGAAAGTCGGCAGAGAGTTTGAGCGGAAATAAAAAACATCTTCAGGGAGCTGTGTGAGTGCACGTGCTTCAGTGTCCTCACCTGAGAGCAGTTACCTGAGGAAGAGGGAGGAGGAAGAGGAGGCTCTCTCTGAACGGTAAGAACTACTTTGTCCGAGGATTGTCTTTGTTCTGGACGAACAAACACACATTAGTGCTGCAATGTCCCCAAGTGCATTTACTGTAGATACTTGATATTAGATCAGATATACTTTTTTTTATCCAAATCTGGGTAACGTTTTCTTTGTTATAGCATGTAAACAGGCATTGCACACTAAATACACACATATACGATAGAAAGATATCTATATCTGTGGGGTATTTCTAGAGAACAATGTAGAAATGCACAATGTAAAAATATACAAAAGTCGAAAACACTATAGTTATCTAACATACTCAATCCAGCTTTGATAACACTTTATATCATTATAAAAACATATCATATATATTATTCTGAAAATGGACCAATCTGCAATGACTACTTTTACTGTCGCTACTTTAAACTATATTTTGATGACAATACTTTTCACTTTTTCTACTTGAGGAACATTTTGAATACAGGACTTTTACTGTAACAGAGTATTCCTACACTCCGGTACTGAGTAGAGTACTTCTACTTTTACTCAAGTACAAAGATCTGAGTACTTATACTTTGTACACAAGTACAAGATCTGAGTACTTCTACTTTTACTCAAGTACAAGATCTGTATACTTCTACTTTACTCCTCTACAAGATCTGTGTACTTCTACTTTTTACACAAGTACAAGATCTGAGTACTTCTACTTTTACTCAAGTACAAGATCTGAGTACTTCTACTTTTACTCAAGTACAGGATCTGAGTACTTCTACTTTACTCAAGTACAGGATCTGAGTACTTCTATTTTACTCAAGTACAATATCTGAGTACTTCTACTTTTACTCAAGTACAGGATCTGAGTACTTCTACTTTTACTCAAGTACAAGATCTGAGTACTTCTACTTTTACTCAAGTACAAGGATCTGAGTACTTCTACTTTACTCAAGTACAGGATCTGAGTACTTCTATTTACTCAAGTACAAGATCTGAGTACTTCTATTTTACTCAAGTACAAGATCTGAGTACTTCTACTTTTACTCAAGTACAGGATCTGAGTACTTTACTTTTACTCAAGTACAAGATCTGAGTACTTCTACTTTTACTCAAGTACAGGATCTGAGTACTTCTATTTTACTCAAGTACAGGATCTGAGTACTTGTCCCCCCTCTGCTTCCTATAGATGAGGAACTTCAGCTCCATGATGAGGAAAGTCTTCAGACTCTGAGCCGACTCTCAGCTTCAGAGGACATTGAGCTGCAGAAGACAGCGGCCATGTTTTATCTACAGCTCAGTCATCACTGTGAGTAAAGAATCCAAACAGATTTTTATGTTGCTTCACTATCTTCTTCTTTATAGCAATGGTTTACAGATAAGTGGAGCAGGTAATGAGACGTGTGTTTGCTCTCCTGTGCAGAGATAAGCTCTAACGGACAGCACGGTTATTATGCAAATTATCAACTGTAATTTTCTTTCTAGGGTTGGCAGATAATTCCCTGTATGTGTGGGCTTAACCTGTTAAGCCCCGAGCCTGTTTTTCAGGTTTCAGGCTCGAAAATGACATGCCCAAAACAAATGACTACAACTTAACTTCTAAAAGGGTTATATGAATAATTTATTTTATCAAAGCAAGGTTTACATCTGTGAGTTGGATGTAGAAGTGTCAGAATCAATATAGATTTTTCTCAGTCAGAGTAAATTCAGATGGAACATAGCAAAAAAAGGTAAATTCTTACCTCCGCCTAAAGAAAAAACATTACTTATAGTGAAAACCACCCTTGAATGATGGGATGGTAGACTAAAAGCTTTAGGAATCCAAAGTATAACATATAATAAGTACCCTGTATCAAGATTGAGGCAAAACAAGTGAAATTTGACCTTTTTAGAGAGGTTTAGCAAAATAAGTCCAGGCGGAATAAGCTTTGGGCACATTTGGGTACATCTGGTTCCATCAGTGCCATTTGACCTTTTTCAGGTACCAGACTATAAAAATGGTGTATTACATTGAATTATCACCATAGGTATTCATTCCATCCAAAGAAAACAAAATTAAAATTAAAAGATTCAATTAAAAAAAATAAAATAAAAAAAAAATATTTTTTTTTAATTTAATTTGTGGAAAAAAAAGGACCCGCCGACGGGGTCTTTGGGGCTTAACAGGTTTTAAGTGCCGTTATTCACAGTACTAGTATCCCAAAAACGCTGCTTCTTCACCCACAATAACCAGTGTTTCCTGCTCTGTGTGTTTCAGTGAAGTCTCCTCTACCAGACGCATTGTTGGAGCCGGTCATGAACTTACTGCTATCATCTGACCTGGATGTTCAGAAAACCATCTCTCTGTCTTTAGTCAATCTGTTAGTGAAGAACAACGGTAAGAGATACGAAATCACAAGGTGTTTTAAAGAGTCCTCTCTACTTTAAAGAGTCCTCTCCTGCTGATGTTCAGGTGTATATCAGTATGTAGTGTCTCTACTTTAAAGAGTCCTCTCCTGCTGATGTTCAGGTGTATATCAGTATGTAGTGTCTTTACTTTAAAGAGTCCTCTCCTGCTGATGTTCAGTTGTATATCAGTATGTAGTATCTCTACTTTAAAGAGTCCTCTCCTGCTGATGTTCAGGTGTATATCAGTATGTATTGTCACTACTGTGACATGTCTGCTCTGATTGGTTAGCTGGCCGGCTCTGTTGTTATTGGTCAACATTTTAGAGATGTCCCCTCTAATGGAATCATGTTTTTAATATTGCTTTTTTTTTAAATCTAATTGTTATCCACAATCACATCTTAAATTATCCAATGAATAGGGTCATAATAACCGTGCATATACTGTAATATGGTGTCAGTGTGCAGAGCCTCTGTGGTTGAGATGGGGATGCTGGTTCCGATCCTGGATCTGATCCGGTCCGGAGACTCCAGCGCTCAGAGCCACTCCTGCGCCTGCGTCTGCCTCCTCGCCTCCTCAGGTGGGTGCAGAAGGATTTAAGGTCTTTAAATTGTTTAATAATAATTATTCTCTCGGTGTCTGGCTGTTACATATTTTTATATATATTTGTTTTTGTATTCGGGATTGTGGGAAACGGTATTTTGATCTCTCTGTCTGTACACACAAACTGAAAGATTGACAATAAAGTTCACTTTGACTTTTGAAAGTTTAACATGTATTTTCGTGCAGAGTCGAACAGAGAGACTGTCATGTTGGAGGGAGTGAAGCCTCTGCTGGCTTTAGCGAAATCCTACGACCCTCGAGAGCAGCAGGTGGCCTCCTGGGCTCTGATGCACCTCACACACTCAGGTAGGGTCACTTCCTTTAAAGGTCCCCTATTATACTGTTTTTCATCAATATATTATAGGTCTCAGATATATACAAATCATGTCTCTGAAGTGTTTGGCTCCAAACACCAAATAGATCATTGCAGCATCCCATAATCCCCTCTGTTTCAGCCCTGTTTCAAAAGTGCTGATTCTCTGTCTGTTACTTAGATGAAAATAAGGAGCCACTCCCCACGCCCCTCTGAGAGATATTTGGGTGAAAATAACATAATGGTGCTCTAGGAGGAGATTCAGGGTGATAAGGTGGGGGGGGGGCTACCTTGGTTGCTGATTGGCTAATGGTTACACAAGCCAAAAAAATCGCTATGACATCATTAAGTGGCCAAAATCTGATCAGCTCATTTTCAGACAGGTTTTTATATCAAATGGATCAGGACAAAAAGTGAGAGAATTTTTTTTTCCTGAAACTTTCAGAGTCTCTTTCCACAGAGGGGACACATGTTAATGTAGAAGAGACATGAAGAAGAGGATTTTGCATAATAGGTGACCTTTAAATCCTCACATATTTAACAAAAGCAGATGTTTTTTTTCTGGTGTTATGCTCCTCTCTCTCTCCAGATTGGTCCAGGAGGCTGCTGGGTGATGCGGGGGGTTTCCCGGTTCTGGTTCTGCTGCTGCAGGGCTCAGACTCAGAGGTCCAGTTCTACAGCTGCTCCGCCCTCTGCAACATCTCTTCTGCTCGGGAGCTCCACCCGAAGCTGCTCAGCATCGGGAGTCACTTCCTGTTGAAGTCCCTGCTGACGCTCGCCTCCTCCTCCGTGCAAAATGTAACGTTGAGTTTCTCCTTCCTCAAGATTCAAGGCTTTATTGTCATGTGTACATAGCTACAGTGTAGATATGACAATGAAAATCTGAGGTCACACGCAACACAATAAACAGATAGAATAGAATTCATTGCCATTTCTACACTGTAGCTTTGTACATATGATAATAAAACCTTTGAATCTTTTGAATCTATCATATGTATATACAGTATATTATAAGCCTATATTCATGCTACTGCAGTATTTGTTACCTTTTTTAAAGAACATTTTAATTTTGTATATTGTTTATAGTGATTGATATACTATTTTTAATTTTAATTGTTAACTCTTTTCCACTTTTGAGTATTTGCATTTTAATGTTGAGCACACTGGTCCTGTAACAAAAATAATTTCCCAATTTGGGATTAATAAAGTACCTACCTACCTAACTATCTATCTATCTATCTATCGACTGTAGAGGTGAGTTTGAAGGTAAGTTCACAAAAATGTATGATTAAAAATTCAGTTTTGTTGTTGTTTAGAACTCGATGCAGGCGTGCAGATGCCTACATACTCTCTCACAGAATGGTAAATATTTTCCCATTTCATTTTGCTGATGCTTTATCCATTGAAATAACAATAAGTGCATGTAACCATGAAGATGCAAACTCAAAAAGTGTATATACTAGATGTGAGAAAATGTATTTTAAATACATTTTTACCATTGAAGATAGTACTTGTGTATTTTTAACTAAAGTAACTTTTTTAATTTCCCATAATATTTATATTTTGCGTGGACTGTGACATGTTGTGTGGAGTGTTTTTCGAGCAAGGCAAGTTTATTTATATAGCACCTTTCAACACAAGGCAATTCAAAGTGTTGCCAAAGTGGCAATTCAAAGATCTTGTCAAACAAAACAAGCTAATATAGAATAACACAGATATAAAATACATGAATAAAAGTTACAGTGCAGTGTAAGAGATGAATAGTTCAATTAAAAGCAGCGTCAAAAAGAAAAGTCTTCAGGCTGGATTTAAAAGTAGACAGAGTTGCAGCCGACCGGCAGGTTTCTGGGAGTTTGTTCCAGATACTTGGAGCATAATAACTGAACTTCTCCATGTTTAGTTCTGACTCTGGGGACAGAAAAGTGCACCGTACTTTAACAACAAACTCCTCCTAGGGATTTTATCCAATCATCTTCAAATCTTGACAGTAGCATCTCAAGACCTGGCAGATGCAAAGTTAGTGGCGCCCATTTTGACTCTCGCCTGATGGCTATGTGATCCCTTTCCATGGAAGGTGATTATCTCCTAACGCCAGCTGACATGCTCCAAACGGCCCCAAACGTCACATGATGGTTAATGCTTCGGCCCTGAACAGCTCATCTCCAAATCTGAGGTGCCGAAACACGATATTGCTGTGACACCAATGGACACGGTCCGATCGCTACCAAATTTCACATGTAATCACCGGTCCATGCCTCAAAACATCTACATTACAACAGAATTGTGTCGAAGTCTTTACGTTTGGTGTCAATCATGATGAAGTCCAAGCTATGTAACATGAATGGCATGTCCCCCAAAGAGTTTATGGAAATCAAAAATAGTCATAATTGTCTATGATAAACTGTGTAGCCGTAATATAGAAACTCAGAGACTTAATGTCCCCTTTAAACCCACCATATGTAATCCCACAGCCGTTACGGCATACAATAATGTACTGTATTATAAACGCTTTGTAATCTAGAGCCTTTGCTATAAATCATAATATTATAATATCATATTTTCCAGTGTTCCCCAAGTGATAAACTTAAGTATAAAATAAAAGTACTTAAGTATTTCCATCTTATTCATCTTTATACTTTTCTAAATCACTTCATCTCTCAGGTAACTATTTTACTTTTTACTCAGTTACGTTTTTCTTACATTACATTACATTACATTGCATTCTTTTAGATATACTGAACAATTTGTACTAACCCTAACCCTAAACCCTATCCATACCATAATTAGGTAATTTTAAATGTGAGTTTTCATTAACTTGTGTCTGTTAAAGGTGGGGTTGGTCATTTTGGAGAAACCAGCTCGAGTGCGCTAGAATTTGAAAATACACAACCGGAAAAGATCTGCCACTTCCTTATAGAGCCCCTCCTCCAACACACACGAACGCGCACATGACCAATGAGGGCACGAGATAGGTTTTGTGCACACATGGAAGGCTGACAGGCAGGTAGGCCATCCAGTTATTTTAGCCGGGCCGGCTCAGATGATTGGTCGTGCTTTTTACAGTACTACGGCTTCCACAGATGAAATTCTTGTATGGATGTTTTGTCAAAGCACTTAAGATATTCATTGCTATCGGGATGTTAAGAGCATTCCATGGAATATAACAAAAAGTGTATCTCGAGCCGGTTTCTCAAACTTACCTACCCCACCTTTAATGGGTTTAGAAATCTTCCTACTTCTCAAGATAAATAAACTATTTGTTAGTGAAACCCTGACAGCGATGATTTTTTTACCAAAGTTTTGCAGATAATAATTACGCATTTCTATTTAAGTGAGGTTTTAAATGTTTGTGTTGTTGAATCAAAAGCACATCACATAAGGCATATATACATTTTCAGTTTTTATTTGACTCTATTGAGGTGAGTGACTCCATGTTTCAGTCAATACAATTACATGTTCCGCTCTTCACCTCAACATTTGGAGTATTAAAGTCCCAGAATATTTGACCAGCTTCTATGAACACATTTAAAAAATATATACATATATAATGGAATTGAATGTGTACAGTGAGACAAATATAAAAACACTTTTATATTTCATACCATGGGTTGTTTTTATTTATGAAAGTGTTGATTAAACATACAATGAATAAAAATAAGTACTTTAGTAACCAAAATGTATACAGTAAATAATGTATACTGTATATGTTTACACAGTGAGGCACATGCGTACAAAGATAGATTTGAATTTGTATTTTATTTTTAAATCAAATCCTAATTGTATTGGGCGAACCTGAGCTCCAGGAGAAAACCCAAAAGTGGATCAGATAGGGTATTCTGGACCTCAGGTTTTCCAGAAATCCATATTAATAAGGATTAAAAAAAACATCAGCAAAAAGTCCCTCCTCCATTTACCTCACCTCACTCCACCCTCCAAAGCGTTTTGAGTTCAAGAAAAGCGCTATATAAATATAATTGTTGTATCTTCCCCCTCATATGGTGTTCCTGAAGTGCAAGTCAAAACAACATTTCAGAAAACACTTAAACATTTCACATTTTACGGAAAGGGTATTCCTTTAGGGAGAACACTTCTTGTTTGTGATTGGACAGAGCCAGCCAGAGAAGTTGCTGTGATTGGTTGTTTTGCTGCCAGTCAAGAAATTATGCTTTGTGATTGGTCTGCACCCGTCCAACAGCACCACGTATTTCCTGTTTGGTACTGTTCAGCTGTTTCTTCACGAATTGTAAACTGAGTTGGAAAGAATGGAAGAAGAGATGGAACGAAGGATATACATACGATGTTATCCTCGACATGCTGTCAACCCATCACGACATCTACATGTCCCTTAGAACCAGGGGTGTAGTGCTGCCGGAGCGCCGCTCCGGTTGTTAGCATCTGGTTAGCTAGCTACGCTAACGTACATAAGGAGTTGTTTCTACAACAAGGTGGAGGAGAGTCCTCTCCTTTCAGACTGAGAGGATCTTATAACTACAGCTCAGTAATAATAATAATAATAATAATACATTTGATTTATATAGCACACTTTAAACATAAAAGGTTAAAATAAAATAAATAAATAAAGTAAGTGAGGTCTCCTCAGTCCTAACTCTTTAAACTGCGCTTTCAGGGTTCTAAGCAGGGGTGTAGTGCAGGAGCGCACCTATGACCAACAAAAAAGCAACATATGGACATAGGCTACTATATCAAATGTATTTAGAATTCTATCCATGTGACCCTTTTTTTTGTGGGTGGTGGACCTAACATCCTCTAGGGGGGTCCGGGGGCATGCTCCCCCGGGAAGATGATTTTTTTAAATGTTGAAATTAAATGCATCAATCTGCTGCACTTTGAGAGCAAAGTTAGGGACTAAATCTATTGATACATCTCTCAACAACACCCAAGTGAAACAGTACTGTAAACAGAAGTACCTTTTCTTTATGCATATCTTACTAATCACTCCCCTTTTAAACTGTATTTTAGTTTTACTGTCCTATAGTATGAGTTGGAATTATTTCATACCTGTTTTTCATTTATTCTCTTATTTTTTATAACTATAATGACAATAAAAAGGTGTGCTTTGGAAATACTTGTTTACATAAATGGTGACCAAACCGTTTGAGACCCACTGAGATAGCTTAGACTAAAGTTAACTATCTAAACACTCAGAGTCCTTTAGCTCACTGAGCTGTAGTTATAAGATCCTCTTAGTCTGACAGGAGAGGACTCTCCTCCACCTTGTTGTAGAAACAACTCCTTATGTACGTTAGCATAGCTAGCTAACCAGATGCTAACAACCGGAGCGGCGCTCCGGCAGCTGTGACTACCCGATTTGCATCTCTGCCCGATTTGCATTGCGCAAGCGCGAGATGGTCCGCCATATTGGACAGCTACATACGGCAACCCAAATAGGACATTTGTTTCGCAAAGTAGAAAAAAATAATAAAAAAACCCGGCAACATTAATCTGAACAAGAGAGAGAGTTATTGATATTACAACGTGACTTCACTATTATTTAACAAATACTTTTATTGGGTTAATTACATTCTTAGAATAAGTGAGAAATTGATTTAACTTCTGTTAGACAGTTATCATACTGAAGAAATATTTACTGTGAATGTATGCAAAAATGTTTGGCATTAATAATTTATATGTAATTACATTAACTATGAATGTCTTTCATTTTATTTCAAATTAAATACAATTACATAAAAGATTTTCCATAAAAAAGTTGATTGAAGAACACATCTCTGTTATTAGATCAGTAGTTTTCTTATATGACAATTATTGCTACATTTGAAAGGTCTTTACCAGCTTTGGAATTATATATATATATATCGTTCAGATTAATGTTGTCTGGTTTTTTTAGTTTTCTTTTTCTGCTTTGCCAAACGCCACTGTGTCAAGTGTCCTATTTGGGTTGCCGTATGTAGCTGTCCAATACGGCAGACCATCTCACGCTTGCGCAATGCAAATCGGACAAAGATGCAAATCGGGTAGTCACAAGCACTACACCCCTGGTTCTAAGGGACATGTAGATGTCGTGATGGGTTGACAGCATGTCGAGGATAACATCGTATGTATATCCTTCGTTCCATCTCTTCTTCCATTCTTTCCAACTCAGTTTACAATTCGTGAAGAAACAGCTGAACAGTACCAAACAGGAAATACGTGGTGCTGTCGGCCGGGTGCAGACCAATCACGAAGCGTAATTTCTTAACTGGCAGCAAAAACAACCAATCACAGCAGTGCTTCTCTGGCTGGCTCTGTCCAATCACAAACAAGAAGTGTTCTCCTTAAAGGAATACCCTTTCCGTAAAATGTGAAATGCTGTAGTGTTTTCTGAAATGTTGTTTTGACTTGCACTTCAGGAACACCGTATGAGGGGGAAGACACAACAATACATTATATTTATATAGCGCTTTTCTTGAATTCAAAGACGCTTTGGAGGGTGGAGTGAGGTGAGGTAAATGGAGGAGGGACTTATTGTTGATGTTTTTTTGAATCCTTATTAATATGGATTTCTGGAAAACCTGAGCTCCAGGAGAAAACCCTATCTGAGCAAAAAGTGAAGGAGGGAGGGGGTGAGGTAGGAGGAAGGAGGTGAGGTAGGAAGGAGGTGAGGTAAATGGAGGAGGGACTTATTGTTGATGTTTTTTTGAATCCTTATTAATATGGATTTCTGGAAAACCTGAGCTCCAGGAGAAAAACCCTATCTGAGCAAAAAGTGAAGGAGGGAGGGGGTGAGGTAGGAAGAAGGAGGTGAGGGAAATGGAGGGAGGGAGTTACTGTTGTCCAGCTGGAGCTGAATCACCAGAAGCTTCCTCCATCTTCTCCATCTTCTCCATCTTCTATGGAGGTGTTTCTTGCGTCTTTGGCTTTTCTTCCTCATCTCCTTCTCTTGCATCTTGCTTATCATTTTCTGCAAGGCAACGTCTCTATCCTCAGTCCTCCCCCCTCCTGCGAGAGAAGAAACCTCTGCTCTTATTCTTCATGTGAAGACAGAGGTCTTCCAGAAGTTTATTTTCCTCCTCCATCTTTTTCTCAGTTGTTGCCCAGCTCAGTCTTCTCTGAGCCCCGTTGTCCCTCTGCTCCTCCACCTGTTTCAGTCGTATCTCCATCAGAATAAACTTGATCTCCAAGCTCTGGTGTTTCTGGACGACCTCGTCCTTCTTCTGAGTTACCTCGTTTAATTTGGTCTCTACCAAATTAAACTTGGTCTCCCAGCTCTCCTGGTTCTGGGCCAGGTCTTTGGAGAACTTCTTCTTCCAAACCAATTGGTTTGTCTCCTTGTGTTGGACAAACTGCTCCCAGTTCAGCTGTTTTTCAGCCAGGTCTTTGGAGAACTTCTCCTCCTGCTCTCTCATCTGTTCTTTCAGCTGTTTGACGTCCGTCTCCCAGCTCAGGTTATTTTCGGCCAGGCTCTTAGTGAACTTTTCCTCGCATTGAAGGAGTTGTTCCTCTCTTCTCTGCTGCAGGTTTAAAGTCACCAGGTTGGCCTCGTTGTGTTGGTCTGAGAGCTTCTGTTGCTGTGTCTCATACCATGCCACTGTGTCTTCCAGCTGCTCTTTGTGTTGAAGCTCTGCAGCTTCCATGTTCTCCTCCAGATCGCTGTTTCTATCCTCCAAGATTGTCACACACTCAAGGAGTTCATCCCCTTTTCTTATCAGCTCTTTGATGATCTCTGGGTCACACTGCAGGGGAACATCATTATTCTCGCTGTCAGATGTCGCCTGGTCCTTCTCGTCTGAGACATTTCCTTTCTCTGCCTCATGCCTTGCCACAATTTGGTCCAACTGCCTCTTGTGTTGGCATTCTGCATCTTCCATATTCTTATTCAGACGGGAGATTTCTGCCGCATGCTCCATGTTGGTGTCAACCAGCTTTTTGTTCCTGTAGCCCAGGAGCTCCTCAAGACGTTTGACCTTGTCTTTTTGGTTGCGCATACTGTGGCAAAATTTCGTCCTCTCCTCCTGAAATGCCCCACGATACTCATCCAGGCCATATATCTGGCCATTTCTGCAGTGGACCTGCCTGTAAGCTCGATCCGCTTCTGCTCCATGGTCGAATGGCCTGGGGTTTCCCCTGTTGTTCTGGGGGATTCTTCTATCCATGGCACCGTCTGTAGACTTGTGTTGTGCGTAGGTAGAATAATCTATTTCTCTTTGGAAGAAGTGTTCTGTGTAGAAGTCTGCGAAGGTTGTCTGAATGCGTCTAACCACTTACAGCTCTGGAGTGAAGAGTGACGAGTGAATGCACATCACAGCCCTTGCAATCTTCCTTCGGACTCCTGTGACATCACCATGACATCACAGATCTCTCTGATCTTCTGTGACGGAACACTCATCAATGCCAATGATGTCATCGCTTCAGTGTGTCAGGATGTCACTGAAATAGTTTGGTTTAGATTTATGGTGTTGCCATGGAAACACAAACTCGCAATAATACAAATTATAGTAATACATTTAATTGTTATGGCGCTTTTCCTAGTGCTCAAAGATGCTTTACATAAAATCAGAAACAGAAACAGTACAAACTAAACAAATCAACAATAAACAATAAACAACAATAAAACAACAATAAAACCCAATGTTGTCACAAGTCAAAAGTACATAGTCCAAATGGCACCAAACGTCACATGATAGTTAACGCTCTGGCCCTGAACAGCTCTACGTCAAATCTGATCATCTCATCATATGCTGTTGCCATGGAAACACGAACTCGCCATAAAACACGATGTCAACGTAACTCAATGGTAAATGGTCCAAACATTACCAAACTTCAGATGACCATTAATGGTAGAGCCCTCAACTCGTCTCTGATAACGAGGCAGCCCTCCAGACATCTGAGCCAATTGTGAGTCTTCACCGCACGCCGTAGCCATGATGTGGCGCCCATTTTGAGGCTCGCTTGATGGCTATGTGATGGAGCTGGACTGTGTGTTGTTGTGTGTAGATCTGATCCAGGAGCAGCTGATGGATCTGGACTGTGTGTTGTTGTGTGTCGATCTGATCCAGGAGCAGCTGATGGATCCGGACTGTGTGTTGTTGTGTGTAGATCTGATCCAGGAGCAGCTGATGGAGCTGGACTGTGTGTTGTTGTGTGTCGATCTGATCCAGGAGCAGCTGATGGATCCGGACTGTGTGTTGTTGTGTGTAGATCTGATCCAGGAGCAGCTGATGGAGCTGGACTGTGTGTTGTTGTTGTTTGTAGATCTGATCCTGGAGCAGCTGATAGATCTGGACTGCTTGTTGCCTCTGCAGTCACTGCTGAAGACGTCCTCTGCTGTGTGGAGAGAGTCAGCCGTCACACTGCTGTCTGCGCTGACGTCACACACACCGAACAAAGTGAGGTTTCCTCCACAGCGGGATCTTAATAATAATCATTGGTAAACATTAGTGGTGTGTGTCAGCTGTGAAGGGGTTAGATCATGGATTAATAACGACACAATGGGCTTCAGACATGAACGCCCCCTACCTAAGAACAAGAGCCACAGATTCAAGACATTTCTTTTATCATCTTTGTAGATTTTTGGCGACTCCTTGTGATGGTTTATTGTCTCTTGTTTGTCATATCCTGTCTTTTCTGTTGTTTTAGTCTCTGTTTGGTCAGTCTGCGTCATATTCTATGCCTCTTTAGAGTTTGTATGTCTCTGTTGGTTGTCTTGTGTCTCTTAGTAGACATTGTTCGCCTCTTTGTGACTTTTTGTTGTCATTTTGTGTCTCATTTCGGTGGTTCTTCATTTCATTTCATTTCACACCTTTATTTATCCAGGTTGTATCCCATTGAGATCATTGATCTCTTTTTCAAGGGAGACCTGCTCAAGTAGGTTCCACATGAAACATTAAAAACATAAACAGAACAACAAAAGGACATCATACAGTAGCATTACAGGGATTACAATTTACATACTATCCACATCTTCATCTCTGTGCAGTCGTTTCGTTTCTCTTGTTACTTTTTGGTTGTTTTGCATATCTTTGTAGAACATTGTCCCCCTTTGGGATCATATTCTCTTTCTTTCGTTGTTGTTTTGTGTCTTGTTTTGGTCTGTGTCATAGTTTTTGCATCTTTTCTCGGTCATTCTGAGTCTTTTGTAGACATTATGCATCCCTTTGTGTTTGTAATTTCTTTCACTTTTGTTGTCTTGTGTCTTGTTTCAGTCTCTCTAGTAATTTAGGTGATTTTGCATCTAGACATGTGGTTTTCCTAATTAGTTGTATTCTCTCTCGGTCTCTCCTTTGTTTTGTGTTTCTGTATCCATCTATATAATAGTACATCTATTTTTGGTCAGGTTTTGCATCTTATTGTATGTCTTTTTGTTATCATTTTGTCTCCCTTAGTTACTAACCAACAAGCCATGTGAGCAATAGCTTCAAACAGAGGCAATTCCAAAGTCCAAGGATATTTTCTGAGGGGACATCCCTTCTTTTAACATGACATTGAACTAGTAATCAGTAGATGTCCAATCAAAAACATAATTTACTGCTCTGTTTTTATCCCAGTTTTGATAATATCTCCCTGGTTTGTTTGCAGGACATCCTGGTGAGCGAGGGTCTGCTGGAGGAAGTGGGTCAGCTGCTTCTTCATCCCACATGCAGCTCCGTCATCATCACACACAGCTGCAGGATCATCACTGACCTGAGCAGCTGCAGCGAGGGTCAGCAGGTAAAGCAAACTCATGATTTAACGTCACACGCCTGCAGTAAATACACAACGCGCCCGTCTTTCTTATCCAGGCTGTGATGGAGGCTCGCTGTTTGTCAGGACTCCTCGGAGCTCTTCTGTCTCCGTCTCTGACTGATGACACTTTAATGCATCTGACGTCATGCTTGCAAAACCTCATGACACAACGTGAGGGACCTGGACTCAAACTAGTATTTGTCTGTTCTGTTTTGCTCTTTCTCTGTGGAATAAAACTCAAAAGACATTCTTTATCTGTTTTGTAATTTGCCATAATCCTTCACCTTTTTAGATCCACTTAAGTCTGAGTTGTCGGTCATGATAACATCAGAGCACGTTTCCAGACTTGTGAAGTTATCGGGACAAACACAAAATCCTCAGTTATCGTACAACAGTGCGGCCGTCATCAGCAGACTGGAAATGACAGGTACATAATGTTCTGTGAAAGTATGACTACCTGATAGTAAACAGATTGATTTTATGAAACTGTGTGTCTTCATACTGTTTATCCAGGAGAGACGGTCCAGCTGCTGAAGCCTCACTACGTCACCATGTTGGAGTACCTGTCGGTGTTTCTCAAAAATAAAGATTTAAAGTTCCAGCAGCTTGGCATAGTGATGATATCCAACCTCAAGACAGGTTTGTATTCGTTCTACCCTAGGGTGTTACTTTGTGTTGAAGTTTTGCATCTCTTTTGGACTGTCATGTGTTTTACTGTGTTCTAATCCTGTCTCTTTTTGGTTGTTTTGCACTGTTAATAGACATTTTGCATCCTTTTGTGGTCAATTTCTTTCATTTTTGTTATTTTGTTAATTGTTTTGTCCCTTTTTAGTAGTTTTGCATTTCTTTTTGGTCATTTTGCATCTTCTTGTAGACGTTTTGCATCTCTTATTAGACTTTTTGTGTCTCTTTATGGTTATATCCGGTCTCTTTTTGGTTGTTTTACGTCTCTTTGGCAGACATTTTGCATCTCTTTTTGTTATTCCTACTTCTGTCTTGTTTTGGCTTTTTTGGTAATCCTTTAATAATCAGTAGGCTAGGGTTTTCCCCTTTTCTCTGTTACTTTTTTAGACGATGTAAATGTGTTTCTCCTATATTTTTACATGGTCTGCTGTGCGAAACAACCTTTCTAAAAACGTCCTCATTATTTAGTTAACATTTCTTGATGCATTTTAAACAGTAGTGGGGACAAGATCCACCAAAAGCAACTCAAAGTACTGTAGCCATTTACACCATCTTATCATAGTAGATATTCTTAACAAATGAATCATTATCAGGCCTTGAGATCCAGGAGTTGTGAGTCTTCTGTTTGTTTCCCCTGCAGATGGAGACTTCTCCTCTCTGTTGTCTGGCGGTGAGGTGGAGGATCAGCTCCGGACGGTTCATGATCAGACGGAGGAAACCAGACGGCTGCTGCAGACGATCCAGCCTCTCTCTCCATCTCCTGTTCACCCTTTACTGCCTCGACACAAACACTGAGAGACGAGCACTGAGCACAGCATTCATGCACTGAAGAAGCAGCTTTTCTCCATCATGTTTTAAAGTGTTTATTTATTAGTTTTTATGCTTACAGTCAACAACAACGTAAGTGAAAAACAAGGCAGAGAAGCGGCATAGTATCAACTCTTAACACGTGATAGTTACAAGCAATCGGATATTTAGGATTGGATACATTTGTTTTTTATATATGCTTTTCTTATAATAAACTCACTTAAACTTCTACGCCTCCTAACGTTGCTTTGTAAAGCGATTGCGCGCGATATCAAACAGAGAAGACTGTGAGTGCAATAAAGTCTCTGTGCATCGAATTCTCTTAAACAACACTCACTAAAACCGAAGCAAAGTCTTTGGAAACTAAGTTCCTTAGCAGCTTTGAAATATGTGATTGCTATACGTCACAAAATCAACAGGTAGGAGAGGAATTTACACAGGTACAATTGAACTCTTGTGTGCTAACTTCATAGCGCTAATCTAATTTAAAAGTGGCAAACTAAGGAAGGAAAAGTACTTAGACACATCAGGAATAAGAAAAAGCATATGGCTAACATGATTGTAAGAAGAGCTATTCCTATTACTTCACACACTCTCCATCATCTCCACTGTCATCTACTGTACTGGTTTTTGGATAGTGGTTATTACTGTATATGTTCTGTACTGAAAGGAAGCAGTATATAACATGCCCAGTATTTGTGCCACACACACACAGAGAAAAAGTGATGCTGACTTGCATGCTCATTTCAGTGTGCAGAAACATGGCCGAGCTGCAGGAACTCACGGAGAAAGCACAGCTCTCCAATAAAGTGTGAACGTCTGTGCAGCTGCTCAGATGACCTCTGCAGGGACACACACAAAAAGATATTCAATAAAATGATTCAGAGCAGATTAAGAGATAAAATCATGTACGATCCATGTTGAGACTTTCCATCAGGAGGGTCGGGATATACAGGGAAAGGAGAGGCTGTCCACACACCTATGAGCTTTATTACTTTGAATATTGTCAGGTATTGCGTGACGAAGATTTGGCAAGATACAGTTTTGCATTAATAAAACGTACGGATATTTTGTGTCTTGTTTAGTAGTTTTGCATCTACTTTTGGTCATTTAGCATCTTCTTGTAGACGTTTTGTGTCTCTTTGAGGTTAAAACGTACTCTGTTACGTTCATTTGACAAGAGTTGTTACCAGTTACGGAAGAGCATAAGGGCCACATGTGAGTATTTCTGTAAGATCTGACCAATAGTGAACTTTTTGTATTAGTTCTGCGATTAAAGTCTGATCAAAAATAAAAAACCACATGTGGCCCTAATCCTCTAATTAATAGCGGTGTTGAAACAAATGGACAACTGTTTGAATCAAGTCGTTAGTGGACCGGTTGAAATGCAATTTGGATGGAAATAACCTGCCGTGACGCTGTCATTTACTTTCAATAAACCCTTGTTTAAGTTGTAGGCCTACATGTCCCCGGGGATCTTCATTAACTTTTATGGAGTCAGAACCAAAATATCCTGCAGACTGCAAGTGTCCTAGGATCTTTGTACGTTGGATAAACTCTGACATTACATGCTTTTGGCCAGGGGTGTCAAACTCTATTTCACCGCGGGCCACATCAGCATTATGGTTGCACTCAATGGGTCGGTTGTTACTTTAAGACTATAAATATATATACATATATAAAATAATATATGATATTACATGATTGCCTCTGCATTGGATTATTATCGAATAACTTCATAAATAACTACGTCTGAAAGCAGAAGTCTAGGGCAAATAATCGCAAATCTCTGCAGTGTGAATGTCACAAAATGAGATGCATTGTGGGACATGTAGTTTATGGGCAACGTGCTTCTGTAAAGCGGCATGTAACCGTATAATAAATGTATTATATTCTTTCAGAGCTCTTATGATGCTGGCGCATCATAAACACGTCGGATAGTGAAAGTGCAGTCGGATTCTCTAAAGTACCGCAGTCTCTTCTCCTAAATCCTTTTGAATTATCCTATCCACTATCCCTTAACCCCATGACGTTTCACTCAGAGGTCAAGGAATAGACGATAGGGTTAGAATTTAGGAGCTGATTTTTGGATTATTCGACCGCAACCCTGTCCTGCAGAGAGGATTACTGTGATTTAGCAAGGGTCCTACGTAAGAGGTTAATACCTGACAGTAAACACCACAGACTAAGGTAAACACTGACAGCAGACTGCACACAGCGCTCCCTACAGGCCCAACGCTGCAATCGCAGAAACAAAGGATTCAATTGTGATGGGAAAAACACATTTGTCACCAAAATAAATAAGTTAGATAAAGCACAGCCTATATAAAATAGTATAAAATTAACTTGCAAAAGTTATTTACAAGAATATGTGTTACATTAACACACAGGGCTAATAATATAACTGCACAGTTCCTCTATTTATAATTCAATTCATGTTTTTTTCTCAGTAATTTTCAATTTTTTGTATATGTATGTAACTTCCTTGTACACATTTTTTATTGTTTAATATATTTTCATCATTCATTTACATTTGTTATGTATTCACCAATACGCCAAAGCAAATTCATTTTATGTGAAAACTTAGTCTATGGTGAAAAATATGGAAAAGTATTAGTGTTCTGCAGAAAATTGTAATTATTGAGAAATAGAAAAAAGGGTTCATTTTGTTTATCCTATTCTGTTGAAAAAAAAAATAGTCTAAAAGTGGAAACCAAGAAAACATGTATTTAATTTACAGACATTACATATCATGAGCAGACAGATATGATCAAAACAACATGTAAAAGGTGAATATACAGCATTCAAAAAAGGAAGAATATAACGCAAAAAAGGCAGGAAATCACTTCGATGTTTCTTAGTTTTACATGTCTGATGATTCTCTCTGGCTAAATGCTTTCCCTGTGTTAGGTTAAAGAAAATCTGCTTCCAGGTTGTTGGATATTTCTTTGCAGTTTATTTCCTCAGATGTTTGTCTTTCATTGCAGCATTGTTTGTTTAACAACTTTCCCCTGTTTGTCGATGGCAAAGTTGTAATTCTTTGGATTGTCCAGAGCTTCTTCTATACGCTGATCCAAGTTTTCCAAGGTGATGAAGTTCTTTGCATCCTCCTGTAAGAAATTGTAATTGAAAAAAAGTCAGATTCGTAAGGTCATAGTTTGGGAATACTGATGTTTCTCGTGTTTCTGCTTGTTGGGTAGGCACATGTTCACAGTGGAATCACAATTATCCTGCTGAACAAAACCTCTAAGTATCAGAAACCTTTGAAGGCCACAGATCTTATTTTCTGCAATCATTTTAAAAAGCCAATGGAGAAATCCCATTGGCTTTTTGTTGGGGGAACCAGTGAAATACTATCATCCAAACGACCTACAACAATTAGTCATCCCTGTAACTCTATAAAGTAAAATCCCCATGAAATGCTTACGATGAACACTTTAAGGACATTCACAGCTAAATAAAATACAACTATAAAATAACATTTAAACAACAAATCAGAGGGAAAAGGGACTGACCTGCAACTTCAATATTTCTTTCTCTTTTTCTTTGACAATTTCTTGCTGCTCTTGTTCGCGCTGAAGGATAACTTTGAACTTCTTGCGATCAGTTTCCTCTTTTTCCATCTGGACCCTCACAATTCTGGAAAAATACAGAGGAGACAGTGAGCTCAAACTTAAAGAAAATGAAATCACATACATGGAAACAAGACCACAAACCACAAGTGGCTTGCATCTTTATAATAGTTTTATATTGTTCATCTTTTAAATGTCTTCTCACCTGAGTTTGAGCATGCGTTGGTTCTCCAGGTGGTTGAAGTCCATGAGGACGCGATGCTCCTGCGCCTCCTGCCTCGCCCTTTCCTCTGCCAGAGAGCCTGTGTCCTCCTCGTACCTTTTCCGAAGCATCTCCTCCTTAAACTCCAGACTGACACACAGAACATAATGGCATAACAGTAATTAGGTTAGTTAAAGCTAAAAAATATTTAGATAATATACTTTTTGTAATGTTGTGTTTTACTTCTATTCTTGTTTAAGTTTATATACATCTTATACCAGCTTTTGCTATTTAGTTATACAATGTTTTGGATTGTAAACATGAGATTATAAACCTATTTATTTGTGCAAATTTAAAATTAAGTGTTTATTATTCTTAAAAGGTATAATACCAGCTTTGACAGAGCAATACTTTGATCAAGTCAAGGACACATTTTGGCAAAATACTTGAACTTTTTGCCACCTGCAAGCAAATGTGGCACATTAAAAGAAGTGGGTTGAAACAAATGTTATATTTTTAGCTCTTTTTACGTTTAGGGAACACTTTCCTAACAGGGGCACAGCTTTGTTTTAACACTTTGTAAAAAATGCTTTGGCAATACAACATTTTTGATATAGTCATGAATGAAGCTCCTTTGAATTTCAGTTAGATTTAACGTCTGGTCAACGGCTGTTTATTACCGTTATAGTGATTTGAAATCCAGGTTAGTCAGTTAAATAAACGCTACCAACGTACCGGAGCGCCCTCATGATCATCTGGTACTCCCCATATCTCTCCTTCAGGACCACCATCTCCACCGGATCCACCGGGGGAGGCACTTTGATTCGCCCCACTTTGGACTTAGCCACGGGGTCGGTGCGGGACTTTCTGCCCCGGACAGCCTCCACGAGCACGGCGCTCCTCGGTGCAAGGACCCGGGCCGCCTGGACGCTTCTCCCACCGATAACCTGGAACATGTCGGAGTGGAAAGTGTGGTTTCAGGTGCGGATTGTTAGAGGAAAGGTGTAACGGTTAGTTAAAGGAAAGTTAACATTGAGATTGAAATGTTATCGACAGAAGGAGGCGGCCATGTTGGTGTCCTCTGACCGGAGGAAGTGATTAGCAACGCAGCTAACTGAGGAAAGACCGACGTAGTTTAGCCTCTACCGCCATCTATAGGTAGGAGAAAATGCTTTGAAAATAAATAATAGTATGTGCCTTTTCAAACTAGTTTTAGTACTTCATAACTCTACTACGCCGGTGTTTAAACGTAATGCCTAATTACTAACTAAGCAATCTATAGTGACAGCTAACTAGCTACGACACTATGTAGCTAGTTAGCTAAATAGCTAGGTTAGCTTAACAGTTTTTTAGCAGCCAGGTACTTTCAAACATTGTCAGGATAGAGGTCAAATTCACAAAATAGCCACTGCGTGTTTTTAAGAAATTAAACTCTTAAGTCCCAGACTGATTCAATAGTGCAACATAGAATATACTTAAGACATACAAATACATTTTAAAAAGTGCAAGTGAGACCATAATGCAAGTAAATACATGCGCATAATGTATTCAAATGTCTATTAAAAAATATTATAATAATAAACGTTATTTGTATAGCACCTTTCATACACGAAATGTATAGCCTAAGGTGCTTAACTAATAGTACAATAAATACCTCTGAAGTCTATTTAAATACAAGTATAAAGAAGCATAACATGGACAAAGTAGCTGAACATTGTATTTAAATACAGTTATTGAGTAAATGTAAAATAAGTATCTAAAAAGAATATTACTTTTGAGTTAGAGAATACTTATGGCAAGAATAACATATTTTGTAGTTGAAGATTCACAACAGCAGAAACCAACTGGCTCTTAAAATTAGACGTATACATATTGTTTTGTGTGCTGCAGTGCTGAACTTTAGTTTTACACTCACTATATGTAGTAAATATAAATGTGAATTTTCTTTGTGTGGTTCTTCATGGTTCAGTGAGATGCCGGGTGTCAGCCTGGTGACTGATGATCCTGCCGAGGCGAGGCCAACACATCACAGCTAGTGTCAGCGTGCCAGGAGCAGGGAATGATGGGAAATGGTGCAGTGCTGCTGTGTGCCGTACATTGTGACATTGAGAGCTGTAAGTAAGGTGAAGTTTAAGAAGAGTGAAATGATCTCTTCTTCTATTATCATACAGTATTTCAGAAGGAAAACTTTGAAACTCAGATACCTAACCAATCAAGAATATACCTTGATTGAATATACAATTTGATGTTTGTTTATTGTTCTGAAACTTAAAGTGGACCTATCATGCTATATTTGAATAATATAGTGTAGGACCATACCTATATAAGCATATTTATACTTTTTCTTTTTCAAAATACCAAACAGATCATGCATTTTAGCCATGCCTCATTTTGCTCAATTTGACAATTTCTAGCTCTGTTTTAGCAAGGGCAGATTCAGTGAGAACAGCACCATCTACTGGCCTGGCATATGTACTACAGCGTCTCCAGCGCTTTCGAACGGCAATGGCCGTGGCTGTCTCCTCCTGATTGGTGGAGTTGGCCCAATAGCCGTAGCACCACTGTCCTGACGTCAGTAAAGTGTTCAAATCTGGATCAGTTTTTATCAGATCCGTTGCAGCCCCTTTTTTAGAGATTTGTGTATGGAGGAAAATAGAGAGGGTTGTGTTTTCTGACACTTGGTGAGTTCCCTGGAACACCGGGGACACATATTCATGTATAAAAGACGTACAAAAGTGCATTTTGCATGATAGGTCCCCTTTAAAAACAAATATTTTGTTGTACAAGAAAGAGACATATCATCCTTTTAAAGTATCAATAAAAACAGGAGATGTGAACAGGTTTGCAGGTCAGTTATATGTTTATTCAGCTTGTTGCCGGCTGTTACATAGAGCTTAATGGTGGGTACTTAGTTTTAGTTTCACAGATGTAAAGCACCATTTAGATATAACACTGTCAGACGAACAACAAGGAGCTCCTGCACTTATCTTTCAGTTTCATTGTTTAGCTTTGAATGAACTCACAGAACAGAAAATCTAATGCAGATAAGCTGTGAGACACACTGCATGAATATAAGAAGAAACTGTAACAATTAGTCTTCCACAGCATTTACATGTCCAGAACCTATGCAAGAAATTACAGTTTTAATTTAAATTAGAAATTTAATTAACTGGCCAAATAGAAAAACCCAAACATATTCTGGTTTAAAACCAACCAAACGAGTAGTATCAGTGTAAATGCAGAGGACGACTAACTTAAAAGGACAACACTTTGTCTTTAATATAGTGAAAATAAATGTATTTAAGGTTACAGGTTCACTGACTATAGAGAACCAGGTTTGCAGGACAATGCATGATGGATTGGTAGAGTTCCCGGTTAATAACGCTGCATGTTTCTTGCATCAATTCAAACGCAGATAAAGTCCAAGCATCCAGAGATAAAAGGGACATCCTTCACAAACAATTGGTCAAATGTTTGCACAACAGAAGAGTCAAATAGTAACTCTGCTGTTTGGACCTTAACGCGTAAGACAGAAAGAGGAACTCAGCCAAAACATTACTGCTGCCCGACTTAGCTTTATGTTGCTTATGCAGTGCAGCCACTCTGCATTTTTATAGTCTGCCATCTTCGTGATGTGCGATGTCAGAACGTGTGTAGAAGAAGGGGGACTTCTGGTGGACCTCTTGTTTAGCACAAGGGCGCATCTTTCTTGAGAACGATGAGCTTTGGTTTGCGATTTTTTTTGTTTTTGGGAAGAGTAAAGGATGGAAGGGCTATTTTGGGGGGGGGGGGGGGGGGGGGGGGCAAAGGTGGTAGAGGGGAGAACACAACAAAAAGGGGTGAAGTATTCAGGTGGATGCCAGGCTGGTGGCATTTAGTTTAGGGCGGAAAGGGAAGGGTAAGTCAGACGAATCTCCTCCCCCTCAAGAAGTTTCCTGAAAAGACAAAAAAAATCCTTCAGTATACTGTCTATTTGTTTGCATATTTACACATTAAAAATGTGTGATAAACATCTGGCCTCATGCAGTCAAATTATATACGTGCAAAAACTGCAAATTGCCTCTTTTTGTTTTCTCAACAGAAAATTAAGAGAAAAATAGGAAAAACTTAAAGAATGTTGCAGTCAAGTAATATTATAAATAAAACATACATGGTCTTTAACTCTCACCTGTATGCAGCTATTTCGATGTCAAGGGCCATCTTCACATTGAGAAGGTCCTGGTAATCTCTCAGGTAGCACACCATCTCCTGCTTGGCGTCGGTGATATCCCGCTCCAACTTACTTATCCTCGTCTATGAATGCAAAAACACACAGTCATTAATCATCAAACATCACAGTTAGTGATGCTAGACACAGTTACCTTTTTGCCTTAAGAGCTCGTGTGTGTGTGTGTGTGTGCTTGTACTGAATTAACATATACAGTTTCTGGAAATCCTTGATCTCTTTTTTTTGTGAAGCTACATTTCCTTTTGTTCAGACAGTAACCTTGCGGATGTTCACCTCTGCTGCAAGTCTGCTATCAACTCCTGCTGAGCTCTAAAGTATGGGGAGGATGACGCCGCTGCAGAGAATAATTTACACCTTTTGGCAAAAGGGTAGCTCCTTTTGATGTTTCTCTACTTTCTGAACATGAAGTGTTCTCTTGTATTCTGAGTCTATTTATATTATTCTATCTTATCTCTGCGTCCAACCTTGATGCCAAGACATCTGAAAGCACTTCTGAAGCCTTTCTTGACACAATTTGCAGAATACCTGACCAGGTACCACATATTAGTGCACATTCCCCTGTTAGGTGAATATTCATGCAGATCAGGAATCCTGTTTTCCATCATTCACCTGGTACTTTGACACCTCTTTGGTCTGCGTGTCTTCCAGATCCTCCAGCTGTTTATGTAGGGATTCGATGAAGGTACGCAGAGATTCAATCTCAGAGGAGCGGGACTGCAGCAGCCTCCGGTACTCCATGGTCTCCTCCCGGATGGCGTGCACGGCCTCGTTGTTTTTGCTTGCCATCTCCGCCACGCTGGCGAACTTGCTCTTGTACCAGTCCTCGGCCGCCTGCATGTTCTTGTTGGCCAGCCGCTCGTACTGACCCCGGATGTCTCGCAGGGCGGTGGAGAGGTCAGGCCGGGACACCTCCACATCCACGCTGATGTTAGCCACCTGCAGCTGGGCCTGCAGCTCCTCGTGCTCCTCTGCAAACACTTTCTTCAGGAACACTATCTCATCACACAGGGAGACCACAGTGGCCTCGGCGTCACAGTTGGTGAGCACGGCCCTGCTGGCGTCCTCCTTGGCCCTCTGCAGGGCCTCCTCAGCATCCATGCGCCGCCTCGCCTCCTCTTCAAATCGTTCCTTCATCTGCTCGTGCACGTCACGCAGGTAGTCTCTCTCCGCCTCCATCCGCATCTTCTCCCCGTTCTCCGAGTCTATCGTGGCCCTCAAGCTCCGCGCCTGCCCCTCATATAGCGTCTGCAGACGGGACGGGTCATTCTGCCGCCGCCTCAGCGCCTCCAGCTCGGCCAGCAGGGCTCGGTTTTGCTGCTCGAGGTGCCTCACCTTGTCGATGTAGGTGGCAAAGCGGTCATTTAGGTCCCCGAGCTGCTCCCTCTCCTGGGACCGCAGGCCCAGCAGCTCTGAGTTGAGGGAGCTAGCCTGAGCCATGTCCATCCGTTCAGAAGCGTCTGGCAGGGAAGAGGAGGCCAGCCTCAGGATCCTCTTCCCAGGCGCAGGAGCTCCAGGAGAGGAGTAGAGAGAGGAAGACATGGAGGATTTGGTGGTGTATTGGGAGCCTCTGTAGCTGTCCCAAGGGCGGCGGTAGGAGAAGAAGGTATCGTAGCTCATGATGAATTTTTTGTTGTTGGTTTTTTAAGAAAAAGGATATGGATGTTTTTAGTTTCAGAAGGTTTTTTTTATGTCCCCCTTGTTCTGCACACCATCAGTGAGGATGAGCAGGCGTTTTGCTCTGCACCAGCTCAGTGATGCTGCAGATCCCTGCCTTTTTATAGAGTGAGGCTCCCCCCCCCCCTCCACTACAGAGAAACATCAGTGCTGTCAGCATCCACCAGGCCAATAGCAGGCTGCTGCAGTGAGGAGAGAACAGGTTGGTTTTCAGAATCACTCTCAGCCTCAGCCGGCAGAGTTTATGTGGTAGAGCAGAGTGGCTTTCAATCTGCCCTAAAAATGACATTGCAATCAATTTCACTCTTTACACTCTGCATTTCTATAGGCATATTTTACTCAACTTTATTCCCTCAATGCATTCTCAATCGCTTTTGTCAAGCAATGAATGCATCCACATCGAAAAGTGAAAAAAAACAGGGGCAAAACTAAAATAATTACTTGAAACAAAGTATTTTCCATAACCCTTTTAGAAAGAATCGATATAGTGCGTAAAGGGGCATACAATTTAACAGACAGGCACTTAAGGGTTTTAATGTCATAGAAAACAATAAATGAACTACCACACTGTTACTTAAATAGATGGATGTGGTTGATAAGAGCCCACTGCTTCTTCTGAATGATGGTAATGAATTATCCCACTTACAAAAATATTAAAAACTATTTCCGATAAATTACATATTAAACAGACGCTAGGTGCTCTATTTTGTTACTTAATACTTAACAAATATTTTGAAAATAAATATTTTCTGCAAACATTTTAATCACCTCCTCTCTTCATATTTTCTGCATTAATTGTATAAAATCTTAGGAAAAAAGGGAAAGATGCTATTTAAAAACCCCCAAAATATTCACTTTAATATGACACAAAACTGAGCAAAGCAGGAAATCTCCCTATTTTAGGACTGAAAACAGTATTTTCTGACATTTATAGCATGAAAATGACAATGTTTCCTACATTGACTAACCAATTGGTCGACTTATTGATGCAGATCTAATGTAGTCTAGTAAACAGTCACTTCTTTGCAAACCTCCTTACTGATGTTGTTCCCAGACTATCTTTAGACATTTCTGTTTGATCTATTTAAAATGCAGTCACTGATATCTTTGACTCTGACTGTGAGAGTGGGAAGAATCTGGACCTGCTGATACAGAGAAACTGTCCTCCTGACTGACATCTCCAGATGAGTCAGAAGCTGCCTTTAAATTATCCTTAGTAAGAGGTACGGCAAGCTGATTTTGTTAAACACAAATTGATTCAGATTCCTGCTCAAGGGCACATTCCTGCTCTCTTTAAAGACAATATGTTTAGAACATTATCTATAGGACTTGTCACTACTGACAGCTAGAGAAAATAATTAAACATTTCTGGCGGGAAATGGCCTAGTTTAAAATGTTAATTTAGAACTCTTTATCTTTTCTAACTACACTAAATTACCACCCTGGGAAAGGGAAGATGGTGCTTTCGTTTGCTCCTCTGATGATTCCTTTTTCTGAAGTTGGGAAGTTATTTTTCTGACTTTGGTGTGTCAATGTGCTTATAGTCATTGTATGCAAACATGGAAGCGTTAAAGAAGATATGTTGTATTTTATTGCTCTGATCGCTTAAACAATACCTTGATGTTTAAGTTGTGTTGTTTTGAAGTTTCTTTACTAGGCAATCGGGTAAATAGTCCCAGTCGGGAACTCATTTCTCAGATTATTCCTAAAGCACATGTATGCAGCACCAATGCCTGATCTAGCAATGTTATTGAAAGTGATTTAGATCCACTTCAAAACATAATGGGTTCGTCCATGCTAGGCCCTTCCACTAGTTTAACAAATATTGGACCACAGTTGTTCTATTACTCCTGCTGAATGACATACATACAGAGCAACTGAGGCAGACAACAACTTTTTTGGTTGAAATAATAATTTTGTGAAATAAAATATGATATGTTTGAGACTTAAAAAGAATGTCCTTGCATCCCCTGGAGCGTACCAGCCTAAAAACAAAAACAAACATAAGTATACCAGTAGGTGAGACCACTTTGCCAGGTAATATCTTCCATCAGTAATTGATACCAAACTGAAATCTTAACACCTGCCACACTAAGATATGACACATTTATTTATATATTTTATCTCATTGTCAAACTTACTCCTTAATTGATTTAGTTGTATATCCAAAGGCTTTTGTGGAGGGACATGCTTTAACATCTATGTACATTGTTGCAGTTCTTTAAATAGAGGTAAATGTGATTTAAGGTTTCAACACTAGGTGGAGCTTTTGCACCAAATGTGTATGTCAGTGTGACTATTTCATATGTTTTCAGATACAATACAGCTGGGTATGCTTATTCAGTCATGTTTGACAAAATAATTTTAACTCAAAATAACATTCATTCATGCCGCTGCACCTACATGATGAAAAGCATGATCTGTTGCAAATTAAAATCAGCTGTAGTCGCAAATAGTCCAAGAAAAATGCAAATTACATGTTTATTCAGAATCATTTACAGTGAATATATTTCCCAATGGTACATAAGGTAAAAATAAGTACATAAAAGATTTCTATTGACAGATAAAGACTTTGGAATGTCAGGTTTCTAATTGCTCAAATTGTTCACTCCCTTTAAAACATTTACAAGAATTAAAGGAATATTTTTCCGCATAAAAAAACATTTAGTTTTTGAACAGTAAACTCAAGCTACTGTTGGTGAACCAGCAATCTACCTTCCACTTGTTTTTACATTCAATTGTAATCTGCAAAATACTATCCACATAAAAACACATAATGACATCCAACATATAAACAATGACATGACCTTTCAATACAAAAGTGTATTCCTTTGGTAGAAAACATTGATCTCAGGAAAGAAACTGTGCTCGATATAAAGAAGTATATCTTGCATGTCCATATGGGACTGAACATTCATCTCATATCGGGAGTGCTGCATATTCATCATTTATGTTGGCATCATAAACCCAGAGCAGCCTGCTGACATGCACAGGACAGTTTTCTCTGGCACTGTGCTTCTTTAGAAACACAGCAACTTCTGAATACAGCATGAAGGCGGGCATTCACACGTCGATCTGTACAGTGCTTTGGTTCATTTTTGATCACAAAGTCCTTAAGAGTGCTGGGAGGGGAGGAAACATATTGCGCGTAATGCATCCAAATATAAACTGTGCCCAAGAGAAACATAATGAAGCATTGACACATAGAAAAAAACTATCATTATTTTACTCCAGACTTGTCTTGTGCATGAAATGGGGGCAAAACAACTGCCATACACACAATGTACAGTGCAAACTCTCATTCATCTCCTCGCTTAGAAGATTTTCAGCCGTTTCCCCAGCGGTCTGCCTCCCTTCGCCACTCTCTGGCTCGTCTGGTCTCTGGACAGCGGGCAGTACTTGATGGTGTGCGCATTGTCGCCGTTGGCACTGCAGAGGGGGCATGTGTACGCCCGGAGGATTGGGCACAGCACTCTCCCGTCCGCTGTCTTCAGGATATGGGTGCCGTAAACCTCCTCCGGCGCGCCGTTATTCCGACAGAAGACGCACACTTTCGGCTCTGGCTTGCACCTCTGAGTCTGTTTGCGCCTCCTTTCCATGGAGAGAAGGTCTAAGCCGGCGAAGCTCCCTCTGTAAGAGGAAGAATCTCTGTCTCCCAGCGGGGAATCAGCAGAAAGCTGCTCGTAGGGCCTGAGCAGCGAGATGCGCTCCTTCAGATCGTAGATGGAGATCGGCGGGGAGCCCGGGGCCGCGCAGCAGCACTCCGAGTGTCCATCACCGTCCCTGCCGTGCCCAATTACGCAGGAGCACACCGGGGAATCATCCTCCAAGCCCAGGGTCGCTTTAAGGGACTCGGTAATAGAGTTGGGTCTGAAGGACGGGAGCTTATTTTTGGCCACGAGTGTCGACAGACCGAGGTAGTCGTTCCAGAAATTGAAGGTGTTATCATACGGAGAGCGCGCGTCCAGGTAGCCACTGTCTAAAAAATCCATCGTGTCAGAGCTGCAGAGTTTAACGTCCGCAGAGGTGAATATGTGTGTTTGTCAGCATGGGTAATCTGTGGAGGAGATCTTCTGTCTTCTCTTTCTGGGTCCAGTATGCAGAGCAGGCAACATGTAGGCACTGATAAAGCCTCCAGAATAAAACAGGTGGGCGGGGTTTGGTTCAAGTTGATTATCTCTCCGGCCCCATAGGAGGGTCCACAGAGCAGGGAGGTACTGAGCTGAGGAAAAAACTGTTTCCTTTCCAGGATGTAACTATTACCACGAAAAGAGTATCTCTTTGTGTAGCAAGAGAATGATCCCTGTTTGTGTTTCTTTTCAGAACGATTTATTAGATTGTTGGTTTTTGGCTTTTTTACATTTAAGGAAAATACTAGAAAGAAATTGACCAACATGGTTTTTTTTGTATTATTCTTGTTGTGTGTTAGTTAACTCGTAACTGTGTTGACACAATGATTTTTAGTGCTTAAGAAAACAGCCGTCTTTTTATTGATTAGATTTGATACATTTGTTCTTATTTAAAGAGGCCCTTCACTTATGTTGTGTAAAACTCCATAACACTTCCTTAGATGTTCTCGAACTAAAACTAAACAACATGCAAACGGCACACATACATATTGTAAGATAACATTATTATCAGAGTTCTAGTTGTTTGGTCAATTTTGTAGTATTCTTGCCCTGCTGTTAGTAGTTGTTGTTTTTGGACCCAGTAGTAAATGAGCAATGCTGCCCCCTATTTCTTTGGACATTACATATTGAGCCTTTAAACTAAATGTTTCCATACATCCTAAAAAAAAAGCATATTTTAGCATAAACCTGTAATTACGTACAGTTTTTAAATAAAATAACTTAGGGTGGACGGATGAAGGAACAAAAAAGAGCAATCAAGTTCATCAACAAAAACAGGAGATTTTTGGCAAACACAAAGTGCAGTAAAGCCAAAACAAAGACCATAAAGACAAATACAAATCCTTATTTTGCGTTTGCCCACATTAGCAGATCCCTTCCTGCACTGATGAACCTTTAAAGGGTGTTTACACGTGAAGCTGCCGTTTC